GATCTAAAACATGACCAGATTTTCACACAAGTCCTAAAAGTAGATCAAGAGAAACCAGTTAAACAAAAGAGACAAACATATTATACTTGGTCATTTATTTATTGAGGAAAATGATCCAATATTACATATTTGTGATGGTAAAAGTATGTGAACCTCTAGGATTATCGGTTAATTTAAAGGTGAAGTTAGAGTCAGGTGTTTTCAATCAATGGATGATGATCAGGTGTGAGTGGACACCCTGTTTGATTTAAAGAACATGATCTATCAAAGTCTGCTCTTCACAACATGTTGGTGGAAGTGGATCATGAACAAAGGAGATTTCTGAGGACGTCAGAAAAAGAGTTGTTGATGCTCATCAGGCTGGAAAATGTTACAAAACATCTGTAAAGAGTTTGGACTCCACCGATCCACAGTCACACAGATTGTGGACAAATGGAGGAAGAACAAGATCATTGTTACCTCCCCAGGAGTGGTGGACCAACAAAGATCACCCCAAGGTGTGGAACAGTCTGCGAGGTCACAAAGGACCTGAGAGTAACTTCTAACTGAAGGTCTCTCTCACATTGACTGATGTTGATGTTCATGAGTTCACCATCAGGAGAACTCTGAACAACAATGGTTCATGGCAGGTTGAAGGAGAAGACACTGCTCTCCAAAGAGAACATGGCTGCTCGTCTGCACTTTGTTAAAGATCATGTGGACAAACCAGAAGACTGATGGAAGAATGTTTTGTGGACGGATGAGACCAAAATAAATAAAAAAATGATTTAAATGAAAAGAGTTCTGTTTGGAGAAATGAAAACTCTGCATTCCTGCAGAAGAACCTTATCCCAGCTGTGAAACATGGTGGTATGGTGTAGATGAACAAGCTTAGTTCACTACAATGGTATGGTATAAAGTTTATTCATTTTAAAAGTCCAAAACAATTCCATAACAATATAAAAAGATACAAGAGATTTAAAATGAAAGGCAGCAGAAAGAAGAAAAAAATCTCATTATATCTGCCCCTTTTTTCAAACAATTATTTCAATAACATGGTGGAGGTAGTATCATGGTTTGGGCCTGTTCTGCTGCATCTGGACCAGGACGGCTTGAAATCATTGATGGAACAATGAATTCTGAAGGAACATGTCAGAACATCTGTCCATGAACTGAATCTGAAGAGAAGGTGGGTCATGCAGTGAGACAATGATCCTCAGCACACGAGTGGTTCTACCAAAGAATGATTAAAGAAGAATAAAGTTCATGTTCTGGAATGGCCAAGTCAAAGTCCTGACCTTAATCCAATCCAGATGTTGTGGAAGGACCTGAAGCAGCAGTTAATGTGAGGAAACCCCCAACATCCAGAGTTGAAGCTGTTCTGTAGATGAATGGGCTAAAATTGCTCCAAGCCTGTGTGCAGGACTGATCAACAGTTACTGGAAACATTAGTTGTAGTTATTACTGCACTGGGGTGGTGGTGGGGGGTTCACACCAGATACTGAAAGCAAAGGTTCACTTTACCATTCACAATTATGCAATATTGGATCATTGTCCTCAATAAATAAATGGTAAATGGACTGTACTTATATAGCACCTTTCTATCTTATTTCAAGACACTCAAAGCTCTTTACATTACAATCTGTGCCTCATTTACCCATTCATACAGACTCTACTAGATCACTACAAAGTTAATTGAACAAATCATTCTAATGAGACTAATCAGTGCTTTAACTCGCATTCAAACACTGATGAGACACACATCAGAGGCAATGAGGGGTTCAGTGTCTTGCCCAGGGACACTTCAGCATGTGACTGCTGGTGGATTTGAACCCCCAACTCTCGCATTGGAGGACGACTGCTCTAGCCACTCAGCCACAGCGCCCCCCCCCCCCCCCCCCCCAAGTATGACCAAGTATAATATTTTTGTCTCATTTGTTTAACTGGGTTCTCTTTATCTACTTTTAGGACTTGTGGGAAAATCTGATCATGTTTTAGATCAAATTTATGCAGAAATGTAGAAAATTATAAAGAGTTCACAAATTTTCAAGCACCCACCTGAGATAGAAAAGGGTTAAAATAATCTCAGTTTAGCGTCAGGGAGAACTTCTCGTGGAGGTGTTAAGCTAACAGTTATAAGAGTCCTTTTAAAGGTGAATTCTCAGCAGTCGGTCTCACAGCTGTTCACACTGAGTAAACAATACATTAAATATATTTTACACCTCGTCACTTGTGTGTAAAGCAATCGTTCACTTAGTCACTTGTTTTTAGTGCCGAACAACGTCCACGTTGCTACGAGTATGTAGCACCAACCACAGCTGGTCACTGTTAAAAACTAATCGAGTTAATTACAGGCCTTGAAATGAATTAATCTTGATTAATTACTATTATTAACACGTTTAATAAATAGCATTTTTCACTACAATAAGCAAAGATCTTCAATTCTAATACTTTGTGGCTGAATAATGAATAAACATCTTATGTATTCAGTTTTTATTATGAACACAGATTACTGCAAACTCAAGGTGCAAATGAAATTATATTTATAATGATGACAACATAATTGACAAATAATAAGTTAAAAATAACGTTATTATAAAGCTGCAATCCATTTCAACAGAGAGTTTATTTTTATCAGATGTAGATGTTCTTATTTTGGCTCTGGACCCATGATTTGGTCTTTGTGGGCTGTTAGACCATCAACCAGTGGATTGCAGAGACTTGTCTTCCTACCAGCAGGACGGCTGTAGCATTAGTTTCAGTATCCATGCTGCAAACACACGTTCTGTACTTAAATATCTTAA